GTTTATAGTTGATATAATAACTAGTGTATTGTTAGAACACTACACATCACTGGATTTCACGCCTAATTGACCAGTGTGCTTGTGCACAGGCCCGTCGGTTGACATCAAAGGTAAATACGTTCAGACAGCAGGCTGAAGTGACCCAAATGCAAATTTTTTTCCCCCAAGCAAACCGGAACCGGGAACCCCCCCAACGGGGGGAAAGGGCCCGAAAAAAAAAGAAAGAACGCCAAAGGCCGGTTAAATAACCGGCAAAACTCCGGTTCCAATAACCGGGGCCGGGGAAGGGCCGAAAACCCCCAACGGTAACAACCGGGGTTAACGCCCCAAAAAACGAACAACGGGCCCCCTCCGCGCAAGCCGGAAAACTTTGGGTCCGAAGAAAGTCAAAAAACAAAACAAAAAAAAGTCACATTTAATTGGAAATGAGAACAAACTCGCAAAAAAATCGGATTTCACAAAAAAATCTGAATGTAGCATTAAGTCCTGCAGTCTGAACGTAGCCAATCTGTCGGATTGTTCAGTCAGATAATACACCGTTATCCTGATTTGTGACATAAAATGTCATGTCAGAGTCAGAATCCAAGGCTGTCGGTATGTTAAGGCTGTTCTTAACGGGTTCCATTCGTTTTTCCTAAAAACCTGTCAGATAGAAAGGTTTTCGGATTGCTAAGGGTCGGATTATCGAATCATGACTGTACATATATATAATTTTAAAACTGCTGCTACAGCTGGGTCCTACTCCATCTGTATTCTAACCAGGTGCCGTCCAATTCAGCAATATAATGAACACGGTGTAGGTGAGGTGTGTGGGTGGCTGTGTGCATGTACACTGTGCGTGTTATCTTGTTATCAGTGACAGAAGCTCATTGGCAGACCAAAAAGTAATTTAGCTTCCTCTGGGAAATGCGGTGAGGGCGACCGGCATCTCCATGTGATCCGTTCTTAAGGAGCTTCCATCGAGCATCCTCTCGAAACAGGAGGAGATGCAGAGACAGGAGACAGCGGACATTTATTCATCTGAACAGTCATTTATCAGCCAGCAGACATCAGAGAGGTCTGACGGTGCTATTCAGCAGTGCTTCCTCATTTTCCCTCAGCCCTGGACTTTCTGAGTGCGAAGCACCTCGATGGCTTCTGACTTAAAAGGGAAGTAAGAAACTCAGACTGCTCAAGCATTCGGCACAGATAAGGGGCATTTAATCACTAACTACGTTGTCTGGCTGTTGGAAACACAGGGGTTGGAAAGGAGCAGCTACAGCTACACTAAGGCTATCATTTAGTTTTCACCAAGCGAGGCTGAAGGCCGATTCATGCTCTCTGCACTCGCATATCCACAAGAGGTACGCCTGATATGAATGTTGTCACCGAAGTTGATGAAGGTTCCCCCGTGGATGTAGCATGCAGTCCAAAATATGCAAATATGCCGACTGCAAATGTGCCAGGACAAATATTTGCTATGAGGAGAGACTGCAGAGGAGAGTCTCCATCAGTCAAACCTCTTTTATTCATCATTAACAGACTTCTAATTGAAGCAGTCGCTACCGGACTTTGGAGGTACTTTGATTAGTACATGCTTTCCCAAACACAGCAGGAAAATGTAACTCTCCAGAGATCCTGTGATATTTTTTCCAGACCAGCGCGTACTGTAGTATTGTAGTATTAATATAACAACGCAGACAGCGCATCTGCACATCAGCACAAAGTCTGCATCGGTCAGCGCACAGCGATAAGGAAAGCATGAACTGGGCTTTAAGCGAGTTAAAACCGACTATAAACCAGCTTTCTGACACACAGCAGGAGTCATCTTTTCTCTTTCAGAGGCAAATGCTAGCGGCCCGTAAACACTGTCATGCAAATCAATTCCACAGAGAGCTACACACTAGGTTTGACTGCAGCGAGTGAGACTGAGGTTTATAAAAAAAAGTAAATAATTAAAGGACATACCACTAATCAACCAATTATACACACTTCACACACTTTTATCTTTTGTGTATTTTCACGTTTTTGCTGGATGACTCTCAAAAAATAGCATTTACTCTCCCTGAACTGATCCGCAATGAAGTAAACAGCAGAGGAAGCAAAATCTCACACTCTGAGGCAGACAGTCCGGCCATTCTTTCCCTGTCAACGGGCTTTCTGCCTGAGCGACAAGATGTGACACTGGCCAATAAACATTTAACAAACACTTCAGGGTCCTGACAAACCGAGCGAGCTTCAAAGAGCTACCGCCGACGAAGAATGGCGTATGTGTTGCCTCGCGTCACCTCACGCCTTCTGTCGAAAGATCAACTGAAACACACCACAAAAAAAGACAGCAGGGGAGGGCTGCTCTCTCAGCCACTTTCATTACACTGCGAGTCTGTTTCATCACAGGCTAGGAATGCAAACAGAAAGCGTTCTGAAGAAAAGTTGACTGCAGCTACATTTTGCTGGTTTGCATCGACTTGAAACTTTTAGACGTGACAACATCTCCAGCCTAGTGGTTGACTGAGGTTGACCTGGATGCAAGCTTCCTTTCCGGAGATCACATTTATTTGCATATTATTGCACCATTAAAGTACAGACAGCACAAAGAAGAAACTGAGGGCTCACAGTGATCCAAGATAATCTGCATCACCTTTGATCTCTTCTGCTGCCGAAGCCCAGCAAGTTTGTTCCTGCTTAATGTCTGTGTTGCTGCTCGAAGGGCCACAGGAGATCAACCAAGAGCAAAAAAGAAAATATGAAAGAGAAACGGAATATAGACAAAAATAAGATGCAGCTCTTGTTTAATCAAGGCCAATGTGATGTCCGTCTGCACAGTTGTTGATGCCAAAATTTCTGCAGGATCTGAGCTACGTCTTACAGTAATTGGTGTCCAATTAATTTTCCACTGTTGCTTACACGAGTAAACATTGCATTCTTCAAGAAAAAAAAAGCAAAGCAAATTAATGAGATGGATCTAATTTCCTCTATGCCCACTCCTCCTGAGTTTGACTTGTGTCGACAAAACTCGTAAGGCCTTATCGCAAGCTTGGAGAAAAGCCCACTGTTAATAAAACATAGGGAGTAGAAAGATCCAGAACCTGGCGGTGCTTTAGGGAGTCCAGTGTGGCTCGAGTGTTTGGCACAATGACCGACAAACTCTGTGCAAAACCTCCGTGGATAAGTAAACACTCACAGTCAATGTGAACAGAAGTTTACCAAAGTGTGATTTAAAATTTGTTTAACATTGCACACAGCTGCAACAGATGTGTGTGTGTATAGCAGGTGACAGAATATGTACTCATTTGGTAGAAAAACAAAACAAAACATGAGGAACTGACCACCGTGACACACTTCTGTTTCCAAAAACAGGTCAGCCCAATAGTTCTGCAACTTCTACTGTTAACACACAGTTCACATTATAGAAGGCACTGACAAAGTGAGAGTAAACACCATGTCAGGTCTGGTCCTGTTCAGTAACTTCCCAGTGCTAAAAGACAAACACTGTGTCTCCTCAGTAAACACGGTCCAACTGTGGCTGCCTTCACATGAACAGGACCAAACGCACCTGTACAACTGAAAGGGTAAAAGAATTGACCTTCTTCAATGTGCCAAAGGGCTTTGGTTAGACATCCATTTAATAAGTGACACATTTCACTTCATAGGTCACTGAACTGAAAGAAAAACAAAGGACACGCTCTGAAGTGTGCTTAAGAAAAGCTTTTAGAAAAAGCGTTTGAGGCTTTGGACGGAGGACGGCCGGACTTATGTCTGATGTGAAGAGACCAGGCTGGGCCTCACTGACCTGGTAAGTGTTCAGAAAAATGAATCTCCATATGCTTTAGTCTGTGGATGTTAATAATTAACAGCTAATCTATTAATTACTGTTAAAAAATTCACTTGGTTAAAATGATGCTGATAATGTGGGGAACCAGACAGCACAACTGTAGTCTGAGTGGAAGTGGGACGCCTGTCATTGGTCGGCATTTCACGCAGCTTTCTTCTCCACTTCCACTCTGGTACTCTCTTACAGTTTTGTTTTTCTTTTAGTGAATTAGCCATTTTGAACTAAAGGGGTTTTAGCCTTTCTTGACAGTGACAGCCAACGAGAGAGACAAGAAAGAGGAAGCAGAGATAGGCAGCAAATTACCATGAGTCCAAATCAAACCCAGTATACTGCACCGCCGACTATAGCCCTGATACACTGGCTCATCCAAGTGAGCTATAGGGGGACTTGTCTATTTTAACGACAGTACAAGCCTCTCTGGACGCAAATGTTCCACCAAAACAATCCCACTCGTCACTATTTCGAACACGGTCGCTGCATCCTTTACTTAGCTTCGCCCAATACGACTGAGGTTAGTTTGGAGGAATACGAACAAGTGTTTCTCTTCCTGATCGTGAGGTGCAGCCAGTACATTGTGAAATGTATTTAAGTACATTTTAGCAGCAGCAGTAAATACTGACGGAATTTTTGGACTGACAAAGTTGGTGCGACATCTGTTCCGGCGAAGCAGCTGTTTCCAGCAGCTGGGCTAATGTTTACTACAGCGAACAAGTCACGCCATCGTTTAGGGAAGACATGCAACAGTTAAATGCATTAAAACTGAAACCTGCGAGGTTCAAATCACAGGTTATTTCTTCCTGGGCAGTCAGTTTGATAAATGAACTTGAGACTTTTGTTGGGTCAGACGTCAAATAGGAATTAATGGGAGTGCTGCAATTTGAAATGAAGTCATTATTTTGTGATTAAATTTGTAATTTGAGAAAGATTCCTAATAAAGACAACCGTGATCTTTCAACATAAAATGAGCATGAGAGATTAAAAAAAAACTTTAATTAACCTATGCATTGCAATCATTCTTAACAATTATTCAACTAACTAGCTCTGGAGATGTGAGGTAATTTCTGCAAGGATGCATTTAGTCTTTATTTCATGTGCTGCACAGTTGAGGACATTTCTCACTTACAGAACATATAAAGCCTTCAGTGCATGGTGTACTTGTCGTGAGCCGAGACAGCGGTTGTCTTACCAAAAGTAGGTCTTCACATGCTCCTGGATCAACACCCACGTCTCCCCAAAGTCGTCTGATTTCCACAGCTATAGAGGCAGGAGGGGAGAGAGGGTGTAAGGAGGAGGAGGGGGAGGAGGAAGGGGAGAGACGAAGACGAGGAAGAAGAAGAAGAGGGGGGATGGTGCACTGTAAAAATGTAGGTCAAGCTCATTCCTTCGTTTTGGCGCTTGCACATGTGACAAGGAGAACACTGGAGAGACGTTTGGTGCTTTTGTGCTTGATCTCAAGACAAGGAAGCTGAAAAAGCTTCCATGCAGGAACCAAGCAACAGCTTCTCCTCCTTGTTACAGATTGCTGCATGTGAAGCACTCAGTCGGACAAGTGATGAATACTTAATAGCAGGTACAATAAATCAGAGGGTCGTGCAAGCTTAAAATATGAACAAGATAACGGCATCCTATTTGTTACTTTATGTGTGCTTATAGTTGTAATATTACTTGTAAAAACAGAGCTCACTTCTCACCTACATTCCTGCCTTTAACAGAGAAAAATAACGACGTGACAATTGCTTCTACATTTCTGCAAGAAGTAAAAAAGCAGATGAGCGGCGCAGCTCGTCAAACGCGCAGACTCAAACTGCTTTCATACTAAACATGTCTGTGTCATTCCTGCGGCTTCACACGAGATTTTAATCAGAAGCAACGATAAGACAACACCCCGTGAAGACGCGAGTCAGAGGCTGGGGGGCCTTTACCGGTTTGTCAGGGTGGGAGCTGTCGTAGCCGAGCACCAGGTTGGATCTCCTGGTGTGGAGCAGCAGGTCGGTCGGTTTGAAGGGGAGGGAGAAGCCCTGGACGCTCTTACAGAAGTCAAACGTGTTCCACAGGTAGTTGTTGGTGGAGTCGACGAAAAGGTACTGAAAGAGACAACAACAACTAGAGTTATTATCTGTCAGTCAACCAGTCAAAGTGATTTAGCGTGAGTTTGAGAGAAACAAAGGAACTGAGTGAACTTTCTTGTGTGTGTTTAGACGTTTGGCCAATAAAGCTGATTCTGACAAAACAAAGATGTAGTCATGCTGCTGCAAAGAACTGTAAATGGACTGCACTTATAGAACGCTTTTCTACCTTAGCGGCACTCAAAGCACTTCACAATGTGTTTCTGATCCACCCATTAACACACCAATGGTGACAGAGCTGCCATGCAAGGTGCTGCCTGTCATTGGGAGCAACTTCAGGTTCAGTGTCTTGACACTTTGGCTGTGGAGGGGGTGGGGGATCGAACTGACAACCTTACGATCAGAGGACAACCTCTCTACCACCTGAGCCACAGCCACCCGCCCCAAATGATCCTGTTGGAGCCATTTTCGGCCCTTTATGATTTGATTCAGATGGAGGGACAGAATGTCACCAGGTGCTTGGTGTTGGGCACTGAATGGGTGTTCGTCAGCTCCACCTTTTTTGTGAGCCTGATTCACTCACGGGAAACAGGTGAGGGGAGGGAGCTGGCAGGAGTGGTAGGACGCCAGTTTTTTGACCGTAGTATAATACGAACATTATGAAATCTGTCCTTTTGAATATAATAAACAGAACGAAGAAGAACTGCCTACGCGTCAGAACTTTAATTGCTCCTGTCATATGTGGATCCGAGCAAAATTGCGTCAGATACCGCAACAGATCCAAATGATCACAGAAGATCAATACAATCACAAATGTGAAAAGTGGTTACAATCTCATCTTCTGTTCCTGAGTTATGGTGTTGGATAAGAGGTGGAAAGTGTTTTGATAATTTCCAATTATAATCAGTACGTTGCTGAGTCGATGTGAAGATTTGAAATGTGAAGCAGGTCCCTCAAAGTGTTAAAAAGATCATATACAGCCCTCCTCCTGCAGCTATTCTCTTTCTCTTCTCGCTATGGCTTTACTTACATTTATATGATCTCATGTGATTGGTGAAAAGCCCTCTGATTGGCTAAAATCTTTCACTGTGGGCTTGATTTACTGAAACCAGAAAGTGGAGCCAGGAGGAGACGCAGAAGTCTAGCTTCCTGTGGATATGGTGTAAGGTTTGTACGGAATTTTTGCCCAAAGATGCCAAAAAATACTGCCTACCTCATCTATGAGACAACTCCTGGAAGCAATTTAAAACGTTGTATGAAACAGGAATATGATGTAATGCGAAGCGTCACTTGGCAATATCGAGAAAAAATGTTCTTGGCAAGAAATGTAGCCGTATTCCGAGCACAATAAACACATGCATTGACCGGCTTCATTAGGCCGATTGTGTTGCTGCACCGATGAAAGGCAGAATCACAGGACAGGCTAACGGGAAAACCAAAGAAGGAGATTATATCCACGAGGAGGATTTCGTAGCTTGTCATGTAGAAATAATTACTGACCTTCAAATAAAACTATCTGCAGTGCTTAAAGGAGTGTTTCAGCAAATTAGTTTTACACTTCTATAAGGCAGGTTTAAATAATAATTACAATCGAGCAGCACAAGCAAGATATTCTAACCTTTAGTCCTCACCTCCAAACACACTGGATCCTACATTTCCCATAATGCCACCCAACGCATCATACAGTCATAGAAGAAAGTATTGGCACCTTGTTTTTGGTATACATGTGTTTATTCCTTTTATGTGCATTGGAAAAAACACAAAAAAGCAGAAGAAAAAAGACAAAATGTACATAGTTGTACACAAAACTCAAAAAAGTCCGGCTCTAAATCCCACTGATCACCTATGGAGAGATCTCAGAATTGCTGTTGCATGAAGGCACCCTTCAAATCTGAGAGACCCGGAGCAGTTTGCAAAAGACGAGTGCTCCAAAATTCCAGCTGAGACATTTAAGAAGCTTGTTGATGGAGGGCGCCGCTATAGCTCATCTGGTTGAGCTGGCGTCCAATGTGCAGGGCTATCGACCCGATGTGGAGGTCATGAGTTCGAATCCCACTCATGGCCTTTTCCCACATGTCCTCCCCCCAAAAAATAACTTAGAAAAAAAAGAAGCTTGTTGATGGCTATAGAAAGCGACTGGTTTCAGTTAATTCTTCCAAAAGGTGTGCAACCACATATTGAGTTGAGGGTGCCAACAGTTTCGTCCGGCCCATTTTTGGAATTTTGTCTTTTTTCTTCTGCTTTTTTGTGTTTTTCCAATGCACGTAAAGGAAATAAACATGTGTATACCACAAACATTTGTAATTGCAACTATTTCTGGGAGAAATGGTGTATTTTCTGGAAAAATTCCAGGGGTGCCAACACTTTGTCCATGACTGTGTTGTAAGATTCATTTGAAAAAGTAAACATCCTCATTTTTAAAACATACATCCACGAACAGTGTTTGTTCTAATTTATATGCCTCTGAGCCCAAAGTCAACCACATCCTCCTGATGATATCAGAATGACATCGTCAGGGTTATTTTCTCCTTTAGAGCAATAAAAGTCACTCTACAACTGCTTTCACAGGCTGAGTTGTACTATTTGGTTTAGAATCAATATAAACAGAAAGCAGAAAAAGACAATTAAAAAGAGATTGAATTTACACTACCGGTCCTTTAAGATACCGTTTGGGTGCCAGACAAAAAAACTACTCCCAGAAGCACCAAAGCTCCTCAGGTGCTTTAGTTATGTCTGAGTGCAGTCTTGCAGTGGAAGACGAGGTGCCAGATCACTAATGTACAGTGGAGCTTTGCTAATTCAGTCCCACCGGGAGAGGAGGCTGTTCAAGTGCTCAGGAAAGTATGCTGTGCAGAATGATAACTGTGCATAAAGAAGCACATTAAAGCTGGAGCGTTTGCTCAATTAAACTGATCGATTTATAAATGAGCACTTGGTGCTGGGTGCTGGCTACACCTGAATTTATGTCTCCAATATTCCAAAAGTCGTATTTGTATAGTCGATTAATTGCAAAACAAAACGTGATTTCAAATTGATAGTATGATCAACTGTGATGAAAAGAACACTCATGAAATAATTTTGTTGCAATGAGAACTATAACTAACCGTCTGAACTCTGAGCACTTCCTGGGCATTTGTTGTTCCTGTCAATGTTTTACTCACTGTGGGTTAATTTTCTGCTGCAATATGAAAGCCGGCACTCTGTGGAAACAAAATAAACCATCGCTAGAGGACTCAAAAATGTATTTTGTGCAGCATGACTCAGGTAATATATCATAAAAAATGAAAAAAAAAACAGAAGCTGAATTATTTTTAAAAAATGTAACAAACCTGGGATTAACATGCTCGACATGTATAAGTGTCTACAGGTGCTACCAACACAGAAAAATACTGGAAAAAATATACTATAGATACTTCCCCTGCTTACATCTTCTTTCTACTCCACGTAAGCGGTTCTCAGTTGCAGCAAAGAGTGCAGATCTTTTTGTCTTTTTAGAGTCTGGTTACTGTAAACAATTTATTTTTAATACACTCTTACATGACGGATGTGGCTTTAGCTTCGTTTGGTTGTTCTTCAAGACAAACCAAAAGTCACACAACAAGCTCAAGGGCCAGAGGAATTTTGTATGTTTACATTTTTTTTGCTCAGATGAATAGTTGAATTGTGTCCATTTCAAGAAATACTATGATTTTCAAACCTTTCAGAGGGAAATCACCCGATTTATTCCCTACACATACTTATGAGGCTCTTGTTGACAAATTCTTTTTGGCATGATTGCCACCAAGTCTGGAACTCAAACTTGGCTCAATGTCCTAGAACTGATGCAGAATCTGTTGCCATTTCACAACAGTTGTTCAAGCAACTTCATCAAAACAGTGCAACGTTTTGGGAGATGCTTGTATTTTCTCTGACTGTGAGATGACAAGATTGATCACACTGTCAAGTCCATGCACTCAACAGTAACTGCAGTCTAATAATCCTGCTTGCACTACCAGTGATGTGTGAGTGTTTTTTTTAACTTCAGAGGAAGCTGCAGGCAGTTTCCCTGTCTTCTGTTTAAGTGTTTATGCTAAGCTAGGCTAATCATCTCCCATTTCTTAAAGTACAGATGTGATAGTGGCAAAGCCTTCATGTTTAATGCTAAAGAAATACTCAAAAGAGCATATTTCCAAAACTTTAAACTTCCCTTAATGGCAAACACCAGCTCATAAAAAATAGAACAATGTGGAATTAGGTTTGTAACCCTTTAATCTAGGGTTAAAACAGGTCATGTAAAAGTCTTATTTCACCTAAATTCTAACGTTACTGACTGATAATATGACTTAGGAAAATATCTTTGTCATAGACAAGCCACATGTTACACGAGGAGAGCTCCAGGCGTTAAAAAATGTCTACCCATATCTGCCCCAGTTACACACAGCATGAGAACTCGTTCTTAATGACTGGCCTAGAGCGCCAGCTCTCCAAGACACAAAGCCCATCTAAACTTTATCCAGCTTCAGCATGTTGGGGAATAAAACTATTTGTGGTGTCAATGGCAACTCCGAACAAAGGGAACAATCCCTCTGATATACAAGTTCTATCTGATTACTTTAGAAAGGGCTCAGATCTCTTGGCAGTGACTCACTTGACCGATAAAAGAGCCTTGCATGTCGGAACAATGCTGGCCTCCAAACAAGAGCAGGTATCTGTTTGCATCTACTTGGGAAACACATTCCGAAGAACACATTTAGAAAAAAACATGAGAAGTGGAGTAAGACTGGCATGAGTGGAGGAAATATACTTTTAATAATAATGTAGGTTTGATTGATGATGCAGCTCCTTGGATTGCAAAGGTGGCGTTACTTCTGATTCTTTACTTGAATTTAGTAAGTAAACCTTTGTTCACTTGGTAATGAGACCATGATACCGAGCATGCAGGAACCGTGCTCTCTGTTCTTTCTGCCTAACCTATATTAGTCCAGTCCCATTACGCCGTCCGTTTCCTCCGATGTACTCCATTTTTCTTTACTATCACCCACCTGAGCCACGCAAATGACCCCCGACACTCTGACAGCCGGCTGAAGTTTTCTCCACAGGCAGGGACTGAGCTTTTATGTTGGCCGCTGTGTTCCCTGCTGCTCTGAGGGGGTAAATTATGAAGTCCTGTATGTAATGATGATATAACAGAGTAATGAAACCACTATTATTAATTGCCTGTGAAGTACACGGGGGTGGCTGTGGCTCAGGCGGTGGAGTGGGTCGTCCAATAATCACAGGAGTGGTGGTTACATCCACGTGTTGATGTGTCCTTGGCAAAGACACTGAAAACCATGTTGGGGAAAAGCACTAAATAAGTGCAGTCCATTTACACTGGAGGCAGGCCAGGGTGAGGCTGCTTTTTTTTTTGCCTCAAGACTACCTTTAGTACTTATTCAGCAAATCAGAAACTGCGTCTAGACCATATGTTCAATCACTCCCAAAACTTGGTGCAGATTTAGAAAAACTTGGACCATACCCATCTTTTTCCCTTTGTCATTTAAGACTGTATCTAGGACACAGCAGGGAACCACAATGTCCTGGTTATTTTTTCAGAAGCGATATCTTTGCTCCTTTTAGGACAATATCAGATTTAGGTTTAATATCTCCAATTGTCCCGTCTCACAAAAGCCAAAGGGTCCAACAGCATTTGTACGTCTCCTTCCTAACACCCTTACGGCCCATCTGAAGAGAAATGAACCTTGTTGCCTCTAAATGGGATTTGAGGACACATCGTGCAAACTAGTTTGCTTCAAGTAGTTTTTAAAATTTCAGAACACTTCCATTTCTTTTGATCAACCTCGATTGGCTCTTCAACTTAAATTACTTGTTTACGAGTGCCGCACAGTCTTTAGAATTTAGAGAGTATGTCTGATGGAAAACCACTGAGCGAAATGAAGCTATGCATTTCATACAGCTCATACAGGCTTGTATTCACGAGAAGATTACAGAAAAAATATTTTAAAATGTGCTCAGTGATAAACAGAAGAGTGGCTCGTTAATATCTATTCACAGGTAGGAAAAAAAAAAAAAGTGGTTTGATTTAGTCTTAAACACTGCAGTTGAAGAAATCTTAGAAATGCTCTGGACTCGAAGATTATCATTTAGGTACAACCCTGCTTACAAAAACACCACACCATGGAGTCAAGAAGTTTTATCAGCCTTTGAATATCTCTACTGGGTCGAGACAAAATGTGTCATCTTCAAAGTATTATTTGAGAACAGCTGGGGTCCAAACGCTATGACCATGAAGTCCAAAAACATGTCTACAGACCTCTAAATCTGGTAGATCTTCAAGGTACATTTGTGTTAAGAAGGAGACCACAAAAGAAGAATAATGAAAGAATAACTGATCAGTGTCAAAAGGGTGGCGACACTTTCCAGAACTGTTTGGATCAATAACCATCTTAGACAGAGATGTTCCCAAGAACCCAATGAGAGCTTGCAGACTCGTAAAGATTCACTGAATTGATTTCTATGTGACCCATGTTATTTTCAGCTTCCTCTATTATACCTATAAGGTTGCATGTGCTCATTGTGAATACACCTGAACTGATCATTTCAGTCTTGTCTATAGATCCCCCTCTGTGCTTGTGTTTATAACCTTACTTTCAGTGGTACCTTCTCTCCAGGAGAATGTGGCTGTGACTTACCCTCCTGTTGTCTGCTGGGCTGTGGTAGAACTGGGATATGACCTGCTTGCTGCCTTCCTTCACCTTGGGTCCTGAGAGCTGGAACTTGTCTGAGACGAGCGTGAAAGTGGTTCCGTAGTCATAGGACACGTAGACCTGACGACAAAGACGGGAGGGGAAGTAATTAATGCCTGCTCCTGATAAAAAAAAAAACATGGATCTGGATTAAAAAGAGCTTTGACAAGTTTCGCAACTGAAGGTATAAGCTGGCGTCTTTGAAGCTGCTTTCATATTTGGTATTTAAAAAACAAAAAAAAAACTAAACCGTGTGTTCTTGCTGTTCTTCATTAATAGCTGAAGTGGTCGTCTTGTGTCATGGTGGTAGCCTGGTAGCTGTCCAGTGTACATGACAGACAGCTGGCAAACACAGGTGTTGGAACATTAAATAAACCTTTAAGCGCTCTTTAATTCTGTTCTAAGATTGTCACTTTCAAAGTTCTAAAGTGCGAGCGTCAGGATTTGGGGCTGTGAAGTAGCTCATCCAGTCAGCCTGTGGCACTAATGGTGACTTAAGCAGCCACGATGTTGACATGTAAACAGCAGCAAGTCCATTTCATTTAACTGTATCAGATTTGATTTACAAGCGGTTTGTAAATATTATTAGAACTGTGCTATGTTATAAGTGAATATCCACTTTTGAATGTGGAAATAAAGCTGAGATAGTCGAGCCCTAATCTAGATTTTACTCCATTACCTCTTCTAGATAAGCTGAGACAGGAGACTGCTCAATTCCAAAATGAAATCATTCCTTTAATCTGTAATTAACAAAAAAAAAAGCTTAAGTATCCCCTTGATCACAACCCTCAGGAGACATTAAAGCATTTAAAAACGTCTGGCCTTTCACAACATTGTCTCTACAGTTATGGCTATAAGAGATAAGGGATAATTAAAAAATATCAATTTTCTTTTAAGGCTTTATGCCCTAATTAGAACTCTGTTAGGTCTTATAAAGAGAAGCGTCACAGATTAACCAGCGTCTGGGGCCGTCTGATACTTGAGGCAGCTGTTGGCCCAAAATTTCAAATCAGATATCGTCTTGTTTGCGTTGTCCAACATGACGGATGCTGATATTTTGGGATTTTGGATTAGATTTTTATTAAGCAAAAAGCATCTTCAGTCTATTGGTATCAACATCAGAGCCGAACTAACTAGTAGAGTTTGTGGAGGGTAACTTTTCAGATTGCAAGATGTGCAGCAGACCAGGTGGGGAAGTGAAAACAGAAGAGGAAGACCTGGCATGCTGTGTTCAATGTTCTGTTCTGTTCAGTGTGTGTGTGTGTGTGTGTGTGTGTGTGTGTGTGTGTGTGGCAGCAGATGGAGTCATCAATGTGTAGTTCAACAATCATAACATCACCAGAAGCACGAGAAACATGTTAAGCAAGTGTGAACACACACCGTCTGCTGCGCTGCTGATTCAACTAAAAAAAAAACCAACAACAACTTAGGACTGTATCCTGGATATAATATAAGGGTTAAAATGGAATATAAAAGGCGTAAGCAGTCCAGTTTTCATGTCCCTCTTCTGCGTGGATGTGTTCAGGTGGACTTACAGAGCTGGTTTTGGGTCCAGTGGCTCCTGCGCTGTCTCGGGCCAAGGCTACAATGACGTTGCTCTTCTCTCCAGCCCAGTGGACCACCATCTGGTTGTGGGAGTCGTTCAGGTTGGCCTGCAGGATGAAAACACCGTGAACAAAAGATGCAGACAACACACAGGACACAGATGAGCAGACCTTGACGAGACTGCATAAATTCTCTCTTCTCTGTATAAATGATGACGACTGCACTGCCGAGAGATTCATGCATCCATGTGTGTACTTATTAAACAAAGAGGCAAGTCATGTTTTCTTTGTGCTATAATAGCAGCACATACATTAGTGTTCTCCAGAAGATTGTCTCTGAGCAACAGTACCGGTGCTCTTATGTGATAGGTCCATAGCTCATGCATTAATACCTTAAAGTGCAAATGTACTTATATAAGGCTTTAATGTGAGCCGCATGAAGGATGACTGGCAGCCATTATTCTACTAAATCAGACACCTGGAAGAATCCTCCCTGAAGAACAAACAGTGATTTTCCTCCACACACACTTCTAATGTGTTTGTGGTTAATGAGTCAAACCAACAAGAGCCTGACTTTTAATATTCTGGTAGGTTGAATGTTTTTACTTTCTTGAAAGGTAACACCCACGCACTCCTTACTTGGAAAGCTCCAAACACAAAAGATGGTGCCGACCATACGCTTCAAACTGGCCACAATACAAACCAGTGGGTGGTATTATAGCTCAACACTTCCATCTTTACAATCTATAGTTCCAAAAGCCCCACCTGCAGTTACCCTGCTGGAGAGCCGACGCTGTGAGCTCCTGATTTGTTCCATTTGTCCTATTTCATACAACTCAGCACTTAGAATCCTAATTTAGCATTTCATCTGCTTTTCAGAGAAATGGTGAAGGTGTGCTATACGTAAGTATTGTTTGTAAAAAGTCCAGTCACGGCTAACCAGCGAAGCTCCCGTCCAGTCTGGTTTCTGGACCTGCAGGCTGGTCAGGGTGCTGCTGTGGCGCTTCTCATTCTGCTGCCTCTCCACTGAGCCCCGTGGACTGACTCCAACTCTGCAGCTGGTGACAGTAATCCTTGAATTGCTCTATCGAGTCCACCCGTGACAGTCGACTACGTCACCAGCTGCAGTGCAAGACCGGAGCTGGAGTCTGTCCACACAACGAGAGGCTCACTGGCGAGTCAGTTGAAATCAGGGACCACCACAACAGGGATCTGACAAGAATGCACACAGAGAAACATGAAACAGGAGGAGCAGGGGCTGAGTATCAAAGCAGACACGAATACCTACTTCTTTTTAGAAGTTTCTCAATAAAATCAAAGTGCAAATGGGATGCAGAGATTCCTGAGTTGGGAAATAAGTCTTGATTTCAAGTGGCAGTCACTGTATCCAGGCAACCATATGTACAACTACTCATGTGATAACATGAAATCAACTAAATCTGTGAGAACTGTGATACAGACGGCGAGCTGCTTTGCTACTCATAAAGATCATGATAGCATCTTCTGACTAGATCGCCCACCTCTAGTCCCTGGCATGTAGGTTACTCTATATAATGTGTCAAATCACTGAGCATTAGGCTGAATGACTTGAGGAAAATGAATGCAGTGCAGTGCATGTAATAACTGGAGTTTTTCGAACAAACACTGTGATTTGTGATATAATGTTTAGTATTTATTGTGTATTTGATTTAAAACATGATGGATCATGGAAATGATGGCGATTTTAAAGGTAAAAAAAATTGATTTAAATGTGTTTATTACAGTTTTTAAATGGCACAGAAGACAAGTAACAATTATCCCACAAGCTTCACTGTGCTAGGTTAAAATAAATCAAACTTTATTTCTATAGCACTTCTCATACATAAAGCAGCACAAAGTGTCAAAAATCCCGCCCAGGTTTTTTCAAAATGTGCTGGTTTAAAATCTTGTAGTTCTAATAAAAGCTTCTCTCTCTGGCCTTTGGGACCTACAACTAAAACCACAGTTTTGTCCTGGTAGAGCTGTAAGAAATTTTCTGCCAACCATGACTTGATGTCTAAAATGCAGTTAAAACGGGTATCTATTGGCCCTGAGTCATCAGGAGACACAGCAACGTACGGCTGTGTGTCGTCAGCAAAGCTATGGAAACTGATGCCGTGTCTCCTGACGTCCCCAAGAGGAAGCATATAAAGATTGAAAAGAATGGGACCTAAAATTGAGCCTTGGGGAACCCCACACCTAATTTTATGGGTTCCTGAGGGACATGTATCCATACCTACATAAAAAACATTGGTCTGAGGTAGGAGCAAAACCAGTTAAAAACAACACCAGAGAGGCCGACCAGGTGTCTGAGTCAATTTAATAAAGTGTGATGGTCTACTGTGTCAAAAGCTGCGCTTAGATCCAGTAGAACCAACACTGTGAGTTTTTTTGTTATCTAAATTCCACCTGATGTCATCTAAAATCTTTAATGATAAAAATGAAAATAAATCCAATTACTGGTGACCTGTCCAGGGTGTCCCCTGCCTTCGCCCTAAATCGGCTGGGATAGACTCCAGCCCCGCCGCGACCCTAGTGAGGATTAAGCGGTATATAGATAACGGATGGATGGATAATTCCAATTAGAAAATAATAGAACCTTTCAGTAGACTCTCTCCGACATTACAAAACACAGCTCATTCACGGCTCAGAGCAGCATTTAGGTGTTTGCACATTCTACAACTGAGGTAAATCAAGCAAAATAAAATATTTATTTTAAATTGAAGCCTTTGCAATTTTCTAATTGCATTTTTTCAAGCTGCCATTTTACATTGAGATCATTTCTTTGTTCAGCTTTATGGAGTGTCATATAAAGCCCCGTTGCTACAGAACTGCTGTGAGTTTTAATCGTCTGCCAATTGGTCTCCAACACATCTTGTCTCTCTTCCCATATATTTAGATGGGAGCCTGTTCTTGTTAGTCCAGAGGTGTTATCAGTAGCATCTCATGCTAGTTTCCAAGTGCAAACCCTCCCAGATGTAAAGAAACAGATGTTTTCAAAGGTTTAACATACATAACCAGTGCTAATTGAGGATGTTGAGGATTGGAACATTTGCAATTGTATCTCCTGAAACAAAAAGTTTTGCTGTAAAAAGACAAACCTGAAAGAAAAAGAAACTTGTCAAAAATTGTAAGTAACAAATAAAGGTGACCCTGACATTCATTGTGCTCAGTGGTTGTTTTTTTTTTTAATATTGGTACACTGATCCAGCTGCATTTCAGTGCCTTTGAAGATGAATGACTCTACAGATGTGCACAAGTGCATAATAAATGTGCACAAGTGCATAAGAAATCCAATATATCATGATTTATATTATGAGCATGAGACTAATCATATATATGCTGAAAAAAGATTTTCTCCACTACTTGGTGTTAGGAGTTTCCTGCTAATGAATTACACTACATTAATACCCATTTACTATGGATATGTCTTGCACTTGGGAAAAAGGAGTAAAACAAATCAGCCTGATCTGCTGACAGTCACAAGGATGAATGCAGAAAGCTCATCAGCTTGACATATGGCTTGAATCTGAGGCTAGAGCCAGCGGTAGTGTCATGACAGTAAAACCACCACCATAAACCCTGGAAATCTGTAATGATTTAAACCCGGGCACAGACTCAAGCTTTCTTCTTTCATTTCTGAAACTAAACACCAACTTTCCTTCTTTAGTGGCGCAACTGTCAAACTTGAACAATGGGGAAAGATAAAGATCAACATGAACTCAAACATCTGAACTAGTTTTCCGAGGCCTCGCGACAACTCATCGCGGTATGCAAACACAAAAGGCTGTGACCTGGGATAACTCCAGGTTGTCGGGCCTGTATCTGTCAAAGTGCTTCAAAAAACAAGATAAATCACCGAAGACTGCGCATACAGTCCGAATGGTTTATCGAGTAACAACGTTAAAGCAGCAATAGTCAGCATTTATAGAGAAAAAAAATGGCCGAATGATTATATGTGATGTGAAAGGTGCTGTTAGACCGATTTGTACAAGGTGTGATCCAAAAATGTTACAAGACTGTTTGTAGTGCACATGCAGGGAACACGTGAAGGTCGCATGATTGCAGCGTGTACGAGCAGCAACTGTCACAAGTCACAAGATCCCGTGACAAACTGCTATCAGCACATTTTTGTGAACATTTCGGTACCCATTTGCGAATATCTTCATGACATGTAAACCGTAGCAGAGAGCAAGCATCCCATGTGGCGTAGATACCAACAGGGTGATTCCACCTTCACCTGAAGGATCATCAGTCAGCAGCTACCACCAAGAGAAGAAACAGCACTTTTCACGGTTTAAAAGGCCAGCCCACCAGGAGCATGCTGGTTGGTTTCTTCAACATTCAAGTGCTGGTAAACCTGGAATCAATCCTCCAGGATCAGACTCCTAAGGCAGCGTTCTACTGTAATGTCCTGAAAGAGAACACTTTGTGGAAATGACCTTAACTGTGGAACAATGGCCTGCTGGTGCTCCAGTGCGAGGTGCGCCCCGACACGGCACATTGGAAACGCACAGTGTTTGCTTTGGCCACAACAACACTATTGTCACCCACCAGATTTGGTGCCCTGTGACTTCTATCTCTTACCCAGACTGAAATTCAAGTTGAAAAGTTGCTATTCTGGCATCATTTAGGAGATTCAGTGCCCTGCGCAAATGGTGACCGACATGTTTACATAATGGGACTTCTAGGGAGCGTTTGAAGGAGCGCCAGGAGAGGTGTACTGCTTCACATGAAAACTACTCAGGTAGGGATGGTAGCCAAACTTAAATCCGGTATGGTTTAATATTTATAGGCATAGCGTCTGAACTTTGTGGTCACACACATTGTTTTAAGTACATCCATCTTTATTTTACATCCATCTTCCTCACAGCCCAGCCCTGCAGCAGGCTGTTTCAGAGGCCATTTACACAAGCATCAGAAATATCCAGGATATGGAGCTGGGTTCATCTGCACCCAATTGGAAGACTACTTATTGAATAATGCATATTTTCTCACATTGAATTTTTACCACATGTAACAGTCAGACATGTCAGACCATATACAGCGGTCAATAAACCGTAGAAGGCATGCTCATCATCTCAACGGAC